TTATGGGTTATGTTTGTTACCTCTAGTATCTGCTGGATATACTTATCAAACATAAATTGTGATAATTTATGGAGAACAGAGAGGAGATTGGTACAAGAGGTCATTGAATAGGAACTCACCTGGCCTTCTGTTAACTTGAAGCACTTGGCTAAGTGCCTTGCTAAGCGTAGATGCAGTGGTTGACCTGAACTCTGGCTCCTCTTTGCAGTCTAACCAGGTATAGATTGGATACCTGTTCTCAACAATGGGTTACATAGATGACTACTACCTGTGCTGTTTCAGGGATCCACTGTGCTAAAATTTGTTTCCTCTATTCTCCTTTGAAGCCCACACTTATCACTTCTGGGATTCTCCCTCATCATGGTTTCTCATGCTTGACAATTAGTGAAACTCAAAGTTGATTAAGTTGAATGTGTCAAAGTTGTTTCTTATATGATTGTGAGCCTTCATGTCATACATGTTTACACAGACTAAGACATTAGTGTGTGCACATAAACATATTTAAAATACATCCAGATAAATATTACGTGCAATTAATTTGAAGAATTAAATCCTTTTGGAAATCCCTGTCTTATAGAATTGTGTCTTTTGTGTTTGCCTTCTTAAGCAAGTAACGCAGCAGACATCTGGGCCTGTGTACTTTGTATTGCTGTCCCACAGTGCTCTCCAGTAGGTTCATTAGCGATTCCAGCAATTTTGACTTTGATTTTGTAATTTTATCTGCTAAATTATTTCAAATGTCCATTATTTACTGGCATTGAATGGAGGATTCTTTGTGTTCAGTATATGAAAGATTTTCCATTTTTTCTCTTTCTTTGTATTTTTTACCTCAAATACGAGTCTGTTGGGGATTAAGTCCAAATTAGTCTCATTTCCTTTTATAGCAATAGTCATGTTACAATAATCCTCATTGCAGCCACAAGCACTCAGTGTCTTGATTTCATTGCTGTTTGCTGTAAAGCATTCAAGTCTGTGGTAGAGTTCTTATAGCACTCTTTGACTGAAGCCATTTATTGTTTATTGTTTCTGCTTCCATAGTGACTTACCTGTTAAAATATCTTGTTCAGAACTAAGTGTATAATTGGCTTTTATATATAAGTGGCTGCCCTTCTTTGCAAATACAGTATTTTCCTGTGCCAATTCTAAGATCTTTATGCCTCCTTTGCCATCCTTTGGCCTTTTATTTTTTCTTCCATTTTTTTACTTGCCTAGTCTGGTCACCACTACTACCAAACTAGAGTTACCTGACTCATTCGCCTGTCTTTAACCATCCCAGGTACGCCAGACCTTGTCATGAGGTGATGCTCGGTCCTGGTTCTTTGCTCTCCCTATTGCTGTTTTAACCCAGTCACTGAACTCAGACATTCCTAATCACATTCTTTGGCTTTATTATGTCTAAGTTGATTTGTCCCCATGCATGAGTGAGTGTGTCGTGTCTCTGCTCCTGGCAGGATTCTTGTCTGACTGGAGTTTCTAGGCTAGGGGAGTCCTGTCTCATTAGTGTAATCTTGACGTTCTAACCTCATTGCTCTTATTTGTTAGCCATTCCATCCTTTACCACATAAGCATTTTCACCTTGAAATATTTGATGTGCTTTTAAAAGTTGTTAGAATTGGTCCTTTAAAAAGTATAGAAACATAAATGTAACCTAGTGATGCGTTAATAAATGAAAAAGAAGAATCTTATTCTTCACCAATTGCTGTACCACACAGAATGAACCCCTGCTCCATCCCAACTGGGTTCTCCTGCTATGTCCTTTGTTCCCATTCCAGAGAGCTCAAGATTAAAACTCCAGCTTTGTTCCTGATTCCTTTGTCTTTCTTCTGTACTAAGTCTTTCAGCATTTGTACTTCTTTACTCTGTCCTCCTGCCTCCCCCTCCATCTGGGGATGGGGGCGTGGACCATTGCAGTAGGCTTCTGTTTTCCTGCAGCCTTTCTTCAGCTCACTCTCCATACCATCTCAGGAGTGATTTTGCTAAAGCTCATACACGTTTGTGTTATTTTTCAGCTCAAAAATTTCCAGTGACCTTCTGTTGCTTTTGAAATAAAATGTAAACTCCTTCATATGCCTTTCCATTAGTTGGCTCTCTTTGACTTTTCCAACCTCTATTCACCTTTTGTACACAGATATCACACCAAGCTAATTACAGTGGGCTTCTGGGGATTGGAGCCTGTTGCTGCATCTGCAGAGATGCTCTTCTTTTGTAAAACTATACCAAGCACATATCACTGATTGACACAGTCAGCACTGGCCCCACTGAAGCCTTCCCTGACCCAACAAGGAACATCATTTGTTTCTTAGTTCTTTCTCTGAGGGCTTTGGATACTTTTGTTAATGCAGCTCATTAAATCTAACCCTTTCTCTCCCTCCCTCCAATGTGAAGGTTTGGAGATGGAGGCAATGTCTTATTTTCCTCTGCATCCAATGGGCCTGCAAAGGCTCATAGTAGGTATTCAGTAAATTGTTAAATCAATTATGAGTAAGAGAATGAAGATTTCTGACTTGTCTTTTGGAAGCATCAAAGCTTTGAGCAGTGAGCTCAGAGAAAACATGGTAATGACAGATTCTGGTGATTCAATGCACAATAGAAATTCACAGTTGGTTGTTTGACAGCAATTATCATTTGGAGTAAAAGCATGCATTTCCTCTTCTACAACCTCCATTTGAAAGAAGAGCTTTGAAGGGAAAATAAACAACATGAATGTACCCTTATTTTCTTTGGAAGAACAGTGTGCTTCTTTGATGGTCGAAATTCCCAACTGTGAGCACTAAATATCCTTCCCTTCAAATGAACTAATCATCACTCATGCTTTTGGTGGGGCAACCTGCTGCCAGCCTGAAAATGAGGCCTATTAATGATGTTACTCATTTCAAGTCTGTAAATATGAACACAAGGAAAGGAGGACCCCAAGCGCTGCTGCTGGCCATTAATCCACGTTATTAATGGAGTCATTTTTATCAGTGCCAGTTTCTCATCCCCCTAATTGGAGGGGTTCTCAATATTTCATTGTTTACAAGTTAGAAGGTATGTGTGTTTAAAAATAGAAATTCATGAAGAGAAAAAAATATTGGCCTTGGTGCATTTCCTTTCCAAATTTAGTGAGATCAGTTTGAGGGAGGCTAGTTATGGGGGTCTTTCCAATGACATTTCTACTCCAAAAGCTGTGGCCTAATTTAAAAGATGTATAGAAGTGCATGCTAATGTAATTGCCACCATGTCACTGCCTGAAAGCTCCCATTAAGTAGTAGCAGGCTTATGTAAAAGGGCCGCAGAAGAAGGCTCAGGAAATGTGGAAACCAGAGAAAGCCTGGGGGAGTTAGGGATCCTCAGGGAGGTGGAGGTGGAAGGTGGGGGGTTGTGGGATTCTAGGGTCTGAGATTTTCTCTAAGTACTTAGAGGAGTAGAGCAGTGTGCTACATTGTTAATCAAAAGAATGCCCACTTGTTATATTTTAGATGGGGACATAGGTCCTGAGACAAACTAGGATCATATTTAATATTTTATTAGAATCTCAGGTGTCACCCACGAGAGTAGTATGCTTTCATAAGCATATTATGAAAGCATATTATGTCATAAGACACTATTATTTTAAAAGAAACTTTTGCTGGGGATTTAGTTCAGCAGCACAAGTGTCTGCCTGGCAAGCACAGGGTTGTCAGTTCTATCCCTGGTACCAAAAAAAAAAAAAAAAAAATTAGAATAGTTTTGAGTTCATAGAAAGCTTATTAAAATTACAAAGAATTCTCATATATCTTCCTGTTGCACACATGCAAAGCCTCCCCTGTTTTCAATGTCCTCTATCAGAATGGTACATTTATTGTAATTAATGAACTTTTATCTATGGTTGATGTTAGCTTTAACTCCTGGTGTGCATTCTTTTGGTTTTGACATGTGGATGATTATGTTGGATCCCCTAAAAATCCATCACCCTCATCTATTCATGACCTAACCCTGACCATTATGATCCCATCACTGTTTCCTTAGTTTTTCCTCTTCTTAAATAAACATCACATAATTGATACATGTGATAGCAAGCACTTTCAGATTAATATCTTTCACTTAGCCGTGGCATGTAAGTTTCCTTCATGTCCTTTCATGGCTTGATCACTCATTTCTTCTTAGTGCTGAAGTATCTGGATTTTAGCTGCTGAAGGACATCTCTTTTGCTTCAAAAATCTGGCAGTTATGAATAGAGTTGATATACACATCAAGCTGTGCAGGGGTTTATGTGGGTATAAGTTTTTAATTCTTTTGAGGAATGCCAGGGAGAATGATTACTGGATCTAATGGTAAAAATGCATTTTGCTACGAATAAATTGCCAAAGTTTCTTTCAAAGTGGTTGTCCAGTTTTGCATTTCCATCAGCAATGAGTGAGAGTTCCTGTTGCTCTGCTCTTGCATTAGCATCTGGTATTGTTAGTGTTTGCACTTTGCATTCAAATGGGCATGTACATCTTATTGTTTTGTTTTTCAATTCCCTGGTGTCATATGTGAAGCAACTTTTGCCATCTGTATATCTCCCTTGTATATTCTCTCTCTCTCTCTCTCTCTCTCTCTCTCTCTCTCTCTCTCTCTCTCTCTCGGATTTCACTGTGTGGTTCAGGCTGGCCTTGAACTCAACTTTGTAGCCCAGGCTAGCCTCAAATTCAATGAGATTCTCTTGCTTCAGCCTCCAGAATTATAGTGTTGATTTTTTTGAGTTCTTTGTATATTTTGGTTAATTGCTTTTTATCAGAATTGCTTTTTACAAACCTTTTTTTTTCTAGTCTGTGCATTGTCTTTTTGTTTCTTTGTCATTTACAGAATAATTTTACTTTTAGTGAAGTCTAGCTTATAATTTTTCATTTATGGGTTTTGTGTTCAGTATTACATCTCAAAATTCATCATCAAAGAGCTGATATATATATATCAGCTCTTTGATGATGAATTTTGACTATATATATATAGTCAAGACTATAGTCAAAATGACTATATATATATAGTCAAGAAACCTCAAACATTTTAAAGTATATTTGAGGTAAATAAACTGAGATGCAAAGAGCCTCCAAGCTATGAGGAGACTCTAGATCAGTGGTGGAGAATCTATGTCATGCATAGCAGGCTGTGTGAATTACTAAAAGCTCTAAAATGTTTCCCATCACTGCTGTAAATTCATATGTATGCAAAAAATAGAGTGTCCTGTGGTTTTCACTGGGAGCCCAGAGAAGAATGACTATCAATTCACTTTTGCTTCAGGGGAAAAAAACAAAGGGAAAATCAACCCCACCAAGAAACCAACTCCCTAGCCTTTCTGGTAAGCCATACAAACAATGCGGGGTCCAGAAAGGGAAAAGTCAGCACCCGCCATGAGCCTACTGGTGCACCCTTCTAACCCCTCCCTTCATCCCAAAAACTGGCTGGTTCTGAGGACAGGTTGAGTTGACAGCAACTAAGGCACAAAAAAGCAACTAAATGCTTGTATTGTTGGGTTGATTTTGCAGGCCTGAGCACCTACTGGGAGGATGACAGTATGCAATATAGCAAATATCAGGGTTTTCTTCTGCATTGAAGTCCAATATTGTTCTCACTGTTTTGTTGTGTTCTGATAAATTGTTTTGTTTTATTCAATGTGTTGTTTTGACTGTTTTGTTTTGGTTTAATTTTGCTATACCTGATAGAATGGACAACTAATGTGAAGATAACAAGATATACTATGGTAGCTATTGTTTTTTCCTAGTATCCTGATTTGAAGTTCCATACCAGTTTTGCTGCTTTGTTTTGATTGACTTTGTTCTGTTAGATTTTATTATCTTTAAAATAAAAAATAAGTAAAAATTAAAATAAAATAAAAAAATAAGTAAACAAAACAACAACAAAAACAAACATAAAAAAGAAAATCAACCCCACCTTTGTGCCAGAATAGAGTGGCAGAGGTTGGACATTTGAGATGATCCACTGCGGAGTACATGTCTTATCAGAGCTATAAATCAAAGGTCTTCTGTCTTTCCTCCACCTGTTTTAGACGGTTTTTGTTTTTATTATAATGAAATACCTGAGGCTAGGTAACTTCATAAAGAAAAGACATTTGTTTTGTTTATTGGTTCTGGATGTTCAAAGTTGAATGGCTGCATATTATGATAGACATCTTGCTGGCAGCATTTCAAATTGCCATAGGGTATCACATGGCAAGAGATGTACGTATATATGTCTATGTCTTCAAGCCTCTCTCCTTTTAATAAAGCCACCAGGAGTTAATCATGAGGCCTTTACATGGATGATTTTATCATATATTAATCACTTCCGATAGGACCCATCTATGCACACTGTAGTTGGAAAAAGTTTCCAACCTCTTAATTCCTCACAACTGGAGATTAAATTTCAATACATGAAGCCCTGGGCTGCATACTCAGTCTATATCTAAACCATACCACCAACTTAGATTGAATCAAGCACCTTCTTTAGCACTAACCCTTGTGGTGTTAGCTAGAGAAATTGGCTGCATCAAGTAGAAATGGACCCGGGGCTGGATTTGGGGGGAAAAACTGGTTTCATGAAATTGGCAATTCAAGGATCAGATTATTTGTATAATTCTGTTTTTGTCTTGTAGGCTAGATTCTTATCCAGAGAACTCTAAGAATATATAGTTTAAAGTAATCCCCAATCTACAGGAGGCACAATGAACTCAGAAAGATCAGGTACCTTTGATTACACTATCAGGAGTCAGGGTTTAACTTCTGTGGCATTAGGTTCTTCCCGAGAGGAGTCAGCCACCTCTTAAACAGTGTTCCATAGCCAGCGATGCACTTTACTTGCCATGATCTCAATGGATTGTCACAAAGTGCTTATAAAATAACATGTGAGTTTTCACCATAGCTTTTTTATGGGTTTAGGGAAAGCCAGATAAATAATAAATGAAGAAGCCTGATGTTGAATCTGCTTCTGTTTTTCTCCAATCTAGATTTTTCTTTCACTCCTCAGTACAACCACCTGGAGTAGTCTTCTCACCCTCTGCCATTAACCTAGACTGCATTGTAGTACACAGCTTCTTTACAAGGTTGTACAGGTCTCAAAGAAACATATCTTTTTCTATAAACAGGAGATGAAGATGTGGTTTTAAAATTGACTTATTCCTTGGTTTCAAGATAGAATGGAAGGAAGAAAAACAGTAAGCATTGATTTAGAAGCAAGAATATCAACTAAAGTTTAAGAAGTCCCACTCTGAAATAGTCTGGGTCACTTAGCAAGATCTCAAATTACATTTTATGTCATCCTGACCTCAAGTTCAAAATGATACATGAGGCCCTATGCTCGTAACTTTGGATCTGTCTTGGTCTGCCATTTAAATCAATTATCACAGGAAACTTACAAGATCTCTTTCTCTGGAGATTTTTGAAGTTGAGGTAGATAATTTCAGCAGAGAACAGTATACCGCTTAGAAATGAATTAAATGACCTTTTGATATTTTCTAAGCATAAAAATATTTCAGCAATTCTGTACAGTGCTTACGTGTCCCCAAAGTGAGTTTTACAAAAGGTAACTTGTTTCAATTCACAACTAATGTTGATCTCTTGCACAGTCTAATGTTTCTGTGAATATGAGTCTGCATGGAACAAGGATTATTGCAGAATGACAGGAAATTCCAACTTGTCACTCAAATTTGTCATAATAATAATAATACCCTAAACCCTGTACCATTCGCTTCTTTTCCTCATTCCAGCAGGCTTACATGTGTAAATTATTTAGTTGTTACTCTGTCTTGTGGTCTCACACCAACAAATGTGGAAAACAAAAGGCTAAGTAACATGGTAAAAGGTAAATTTGAGTTTTACATACTCTTTCAAAGAAGAGCATATGCATTCTTGATGCGAGATCTTGAAAGGCCATGTGTTTCTGATAGATTGACCTGCATTTGGACTCCACCATGGCCACTTTCCACCTGTGTGACCACAGCAAACTCAGTGACCACTTCGAGTCTTGGGTTTTAAACTGTAAGTGGAAGATGAAATACCTACTTTGAAGTATTGCTTGCGAGGACCCTAAAGCATATATTCATTAGCTAGAGTCAATATGTGACATTTTGAGACTTGGGTTGACAGAATCAACTTGTTTCTTGTCTCATCTTGAGAGAAATTGCTAATGTAAGATATCTCAAAGTCCTTGAGAATATCAATAACATTAACATAATGGTAATGTGAATAAATCAGCATGAGCTAATCAACATTCTTGGGAAAACAGAGCCAAATGTCACCTTGAGGGAGGAAAGTAGCAGCTTTCTGTGCATATCTGAATTTGTCTGTATGGCTAGCTCCAAGTATTTGTGGGAATAAAATTCAGAAATCCCTTCCTTGAAGACATAGCTTCAGATCTGAGCTCTCTGATGAAGGCTAGAGGCAGGTGGGAAGGAAGGTGGATTTTGTGCTACTCACATCCATCATTTTCTATCAGAGTGAAACTACTTTGTTATATTTTATATATTAAGCATCTGTTGCTAAAATTTTGAAAAAATATTGTATTTAAAAAGTTTGGAAGCCACACCAGAAAATTCACTGTGTTTATTTATTTAGAATATAAATAACATACTTCAGGTAGTTTTGTAAAATGAGTACTAGTTTCTGATAGAATTGGATTCCCGGTCAGGGAAACATATGATAGAATTGTGGCATGGCTGAAAAGATAAGAAGTATGAAATATAAATGACCTTTATTTTAAGAATTCGGGGAGAGAGCCCCCGACCCTCTGGGGTCTGCCATGGTCTCCGGGGCTGGCATTCTCTCTGGGGGCTGGCAATCTCTCCGTGGGACACGTGGAGTGCGGGCATATATGTAGCTTAGGTTTGGGTGGAACCTAAGGGGCATTAGTGATGCACAGGTAGCCCATTGGTATTCATTTCATGCCACAGGTAAATTCCTATGGAGCCCCTTGATTCCGTCTCCAAGGCTTTACAGGCTACAGTGTCCCCTCTGGGCCAAAATCCTTTCAGTTTCACTCAGGCGTAGCAGTGTACACAACAAAAAGTTTCTCCATAGTACTTTTCACAGAATTCAGCATTTTTAAGGGGAGTGCTAAAAATGCCCTTACAGTGTATTCAGTGTAAAGCGTATTGTGTCTCCAATGCTCCTCACTGTCTGTGTGTCTATGCCGATGGCCAGTTCTTAAACTTCTTTCACTGATGTAATTGAATCTCATCTCATGTTGAGCCTTCAACTAGTGTGACAGATACAGCCCCAGTAGCAATCAGAAAGAGATGTCACAGCCACTGGCATTTTGGAGGCAGGAGTGTTCTGTCCATAATGATAGGGCAGCTCTCCAAAACTGCACCACTGTGTTTTCAATGACCCTGTCACCAGACAAGAACACTGTACTGAAGTGCCACATCACATCCCTGGTTTCCAGGTAACTCTTCAGGATGTCCAGCTTTTAGATGGTGGTGCTCAGGCACTCCTTCCAGAGACTTGTGCTCCACAGTAAATTCAGAGAATGAGGCCAGACAGCAAAGCAGCTGGTCTAGGTATAGCCCCAATAGAGATGGCAGATGGGTAGGGCAAACCGTACACTGTTGAGGTGCACCCCAGAGGTCCTGTTCACACTTGGCTCCTCACTCATGAGCTGGAAGCAATAGATACCTATGACTTGACTTATTTGCTGCAGGCACTTGGAGCCCTGGGATGTCACGGAGCTGTATGTAAAGGTTGTAAACTTGCAGCCTGAAGGTGTGTGATCCTCTAGCTTGCTATCTGGTGCTAATCAGGAAAGGGGCTGCACCACTTGCTTTCTGTGCTTGGGACATTATCAGTGCATAATGTATGTCTGATTAATGTCTGACAGCTCCAGCATGTCCACTGCACTTCCTTCCTTATAAGAAAAGAACTGAGCCTCAAGTGTGTCTTGAGTGATTTTATTCCTGAGGTCCATGCTTTGCACATTATTTTCTATGCAACTCTTTGAATGCAGGGTGAGGTATGCCTTCATGAAATTGTTGATGCTGTAGGTTTTACAGATCTGTGGGCAGGGCACAGGGACAAGCACTCCATCTGTGGAGCATGCCAAGGGTGTGCAAAGCTACAGTCTCACACAGTCATTTAGCAAGTCCTAGCGGAGGATGCACATGACTATTTTCTCTGTCTTGTCAAACTTCATAGTGGCAGCTCCACTGTCCTCACAGATGGTTCACACATTTCTACATGGTCTGATACCACCATATTCAGGTTCATATTGGGCTCCTCATCTTCTCTCATTTTTTAAAATGGCTCCAAGTTGTCCTGGCTCTGAGGTTCCAATAAAGAAAATGGTGGTCCCTCTCTGTCTGGGAGAGCTGAACAAGGCTTGAGAGTTTGTCATTTGCCAAGAATGGACAACATCCCCAGACCTGGAGCTGGACGAATGCTCTCACAGTGTGTTCAGGCTCATTTTTCCTGTTCATGAAGTAGACGACTTCCCCAGTCTATTGGGAGCAAGTCTGCACTTACCCTGTAGCTTGTTGATTACTGTTCCATTGGTTGCTGGTATTCCCACATCACCTGAGCAGACTTTTCATCCATTACAATTTTACAGTGATCTCCAGAGACCAGTTCATTGCTGGAGAATAGAGATCACAAGCCCTCATGCATCCAGTGCCTCAGGGCTCTTGCAGTAGTGGCCACTCATCTTTTCTCCCCAGCTGCTCCGCTGGACTAACATTTTCTCACCCAAGTCGGCCTACCACATCTGGCAGTGCTGCAGCCCCTGCCCAGACATCACAGGCGCTCTGCTGCTCCCCAGGCCTTGCCAGTCTTTTTCAATCTCTCTTGTTTGTTAAGAGATGCCATAAATATAATATTGTTATGGTGAATATCCTTGGAAATGAATAGTGTGAACTGAAAATTTCACATAAGACTCAAAGAGTTTCATGAAATTGATAAAGCAATGTGGACAAATTGCTCAAATCTAAAGATAGAATTGGACTAGTTAAAATCGAAAATGAAAACTAAACAAGAATAGTGGCATTATAGGCATGTCAAAAGAGAATGATGTGTGCATCATGGGATTAAGAAAGGCCTTTCGAAAACTTAGCTAAGCTCTGGAAAACTTTTACAAAATCTACCTGTTTTAGACTGGGCTTTGAAGTGAAGAGCATTAAATTTTGTTACTGTGTATTTTGTACTATTATATGTATTCCCCATAAGTTTAAATAAGTATTGCCCCTTCTTCAAAATATAAATGTTAATATTTGATCCATTTTTAATTCATTTTCCCAAACCTCTATTTATTCTTATTTCAATTTTATACCATGGAATTCAGCTTCTATTATAAGTAGACTCACTAGAAGTGCCCTTTTCTTGGTATAATTGCACTTGACTAAGGAAGACCCCTGTGTGTCTTGGAAATATTTTAGGAGAAAGTGGACTGCTTATCTGGGTTTGCATAAGGCATTCAACTTGGTGGAGGGGGGAGCTGTTTGTGTGGACCTTATTACATGTAAGGCCACTTGCAATGCGAAAGTCCTCAGAAATCCTCTGAGCTATATCTAATCAAAAAGATCCAGTAAACACAACTGTCAAATAAAAAAGAGCCAGTAAAAGTGACTATCTTGGTGCCATTCAAGGAATAACTAATCATATGGAACAGTCCTAGTGCAGAAGCCTTACCTGAGCCTTCTGCTGAAACAGCACTTTGTGTTCATATTTCTTTTCCCTGTCTAACATTACCTGTTACCTACCCAAAAACAATCTCTCAGAGAATGCCTTTAAACCTTGGTGTGTGTATGGTGGTGAAAATTTATTAGTATATGTTATGTTTTGGTTGAGAGCTAAAATGTCTTACCTAGAACCTCCATAGTGTTTTGAGATTGTGCTCTACTCACCTTGTAAAAATTCCTGACAGACTCAAGACTCTTCTGCTCTGGTTACAATATATCACAGTTAACACTACTAACATTTGAAAACTTGTCAGGTTTGTAGAAAGAATCAGACATTAGGTTTTATGACAGCTGGGGCCCATTTCTGTGTATTCTTCTGGAAAAAACAGAGCTATTAGCAGAATTAGCACTGATTATATTAGGGAATCATCAGGCTCCCCCTTTTAGAGTTTGAGAATAGCATTAGATATGTATTCTGATTTACATGTTGAGTAATTGTTAAGAATTTTAGTCCAAACATAGCAATAAAAACATGCATTTATGTGTTGGAGCAGAAAAGGAGAGAGGATTGTACTCCCACTGAAATCCATTGAGAACTCTTTTTCCCTGAGTCCTGTACCAGAGTGCTGTAAATGCCAGGCTGTTAAGAAATGATTTTTCTATTATTATAGATGGTGTTTACTGAATAAGTACTTAATTTCCCATATTGTTTTATTAAATATTTCAATTTTGGGGGGTAGGGTCAAAGTACAAAATCTTAATTTGTCTGCTTTTATGCTGCAGAAATATGGGGTGTGCCAGGTACTAGAAGAGTATATACTAAATTCTGATGAGAAACATAAATCCTGGTGAAGGTGTAATTTTTTATTAGCCAATATTCTAGCAAGAGAAAATTTAAATGATCAGTGATCACTTTTTATCTGAAAATGTTAATGTGCAAAGCATTTTACTAGACATTATTGAATTATTTACCAAATAGAAATCTAGAAATTTCCCTCCTTAAGGAATTTGCATTTCCCAAAACAAATACAAACATAGCAACTTGAGAATCATTATCAACATATACTGAAGAACACATAATTGTTTAAAAATCTTTTTATCCCTTAGCATCCTGAGAAGTTTTCATATTCAATAGATTTACTTGTCTGAGGACAAATAATCAGATAACTGTAGAGAATTAAAGACTGCAAACACATTACAACATCATATTGTTCAATCCTCTCATTTCACAGGTGAGAAAATGCATCTAAAAAGATTAAGGACTCTTCAGGAACTAGTTACCAGATCTTTTTTTCGGTGAGAGACCTATTTCTGCATCGCTGGTTTTGGTTTTATAAAAGGAATGGCATGTTGACCTTTGTAACCTTCCACAGATATCCTGAGAAAGTGTATAGTTTTGTCAGCCATAAAGGCATTCTAGTTGAAAATAAGAACATAGAATGATGTAGCTACCTTCTGACAGCTATTCTGCTTCTGTGCATGTTGCACTATTTCCTTGGGGCTTTTGTAAGTCACTGACAGTTAATAAACTTTATTTCTTCCTAGCCCACCTACAGTATTCTATTGCATGGTGCTTCCCGTATTTCAGGTAATAGAAAAGAAAGGAGGTAACATTTATTGGGATGCTATTACACAAACACACACAAAATAGATGTGGTACCACCACTTGACCTTACTATTCTCTCAGATCAAGGTAAGAGAGGATTGTGATCTAAGTGATTTTCTTAGTATGAACGTAGGTGATCAAGGGTGTTACACAACTGACTGGGCTAGAGTAGGATATTCACTTTTTGTTGGATCTCATATTTGTTTCCATCAAGCCAGGAGAGTTGGTAATGATTCCAAGGTTCATTTATTTCCAAAACCCCAGAACAGTGAGAGATATCAAATTACAATTGCCCCAATTTCTCTAGGGAGCCTAGTGAGCATCGGTGAAAATTAAGGCATAACTTTGGCTAAACTGTATTGACAAAGGTAATATATATTTTATCTTTGCAAAATGACACGTAAGTTTTTCTCAACCTAAATTATAAATTGTAAACATAATCTCAAGAAGTATTCTTTATTTTTGTGTCAGAAAATAAGTTGGGAGAAACTCTCTACAATCATGCATATTTCTGATGTTTCTCTACAATTAGGCGTGTTTCTTGATGTTTCTGAGGTGAGAACTCATGGTATCTATAAAGCTATAACAGTTTTAAAGATGTTTAATCATCCATAGCTTTCTATATTTTGGTTGAGATACAGACTTTTTCCTCATTTTTATTGTACTCATTATCTTTTTTTTTTTTTTTTTTTTGGTACTGGGGATCGAACTCACAACTGTGTGCTTGCAAGGCAGGTGCTTATGCTACTGAGCTAAATCCCCAGCCCTGTACTCATTATCTTAATAATTGTAACGGATTAGTAACTGATAGTCAACTTACATACTAGCTGAATTGAATCAGAATGGTGCTAAGCATGGATGGCCCACCTGAGGACTGTTGTCAGCATAAAAAGGAGACCTAGAGAGGAAGAGTTTTGTGGTTCTCCTAAGTGTTATTGTTGTTTGGAGCCATTGGTTCTCCTGGAGGAAGCTTGTCATTTTGGCTCCCATGATATGACTCAACTGTTATGGTCAGAGGAACTCGGGACCTTGTTGCTGAGAATGGCTGCGATTCAGTTTGCAGGGAGCTTTGGTTCTTGCTTTGAGCATCACTTCCTGGCTCTGGAGGGGAAGATGTGTGCTGTTTAATCTCCAGAAGAAGTTTGTCACTCTGGCTTCTTGACATGTACTTGGTTGTTATTATCAGGAGCTTGGGACTTCATTGTTGCGGAGGATGGCTGTGAAACTTTTTGGGGAAGCTCTGGCCCTTATTTTAAGTGTTACTTCTTAGCTGCAGTTCAGATCCTCAGCCTGCCAACACAGATTCTTCACGCCACTGGCAGAGACTTTCTAGTTTCCACCACTGACCTTTGGACTTTCCTAGCACAGATCCATTAAATAGACTTGCATTAGTCATTATTGTGGGCTGTAGGTTTTTGGCTGAACTTAAGCAGGTTATAGCCATGGGATATAGGCACTCAGTTGAGTTCTTCTAGGTCTTGAATGTTGTAGACAGATTTCTTGCACTGTCTTTAACTCTTGGGTTACCAAAATAAACAATACTATAAATTTTCTATCCTATATTGAATTATTTTCCTTGCAACCCCTGACTATAACAATGGTAAATTTTAAAAAGTATCAAATAAAAGGTTTTACTAAATTTTAATTGTCCCGATCAAGTTTATAATTTTAATATACATGCTAGAATAAGATTAGACTGAGCTTATCTTCTAAAAATAGACAATATTTTTTTCCTTGTGATTTTCAATATTTACTTATAATGCACCTGCATCATTTGTTGTAAGTGGTAGGAATTTGTGGAGTTATGTAATCTTTGTTTCAAATACTGAGTTCATTATCTAGTGAATATTTAACAGATAAGTTCATAAATATTGGATCTGTGAAATGAGATTACTGTAATGACCTGATTAACTGCTGTAAGAAGAAAATAATCCACCTCCCTTGCCAACATCACAGGACTGGAGATTGAACTTAGTGGCTCATACATGCTAGGCAAGTGCTCTGCCACTGGGCTGTATGCTTAACCTTCTTAAGTTTTTATTTTGAGATTGTGTTTTGCTGTGTTTCCCAGGTTGGCCTCTAAATTGTGACCATTCTGCATGAGCCTCCTGAGTAGCAGGGATTACAAGGGTATGCTACTGTGCCTGAAAAAAAACAAGATTTTGATGGCACCTCTTTTTACAATCAATACACAGGAAATAGGAACCTATCAGAAGTCAAACTCTGAGCTATATAGGAAAATAAAAATGGATAAAGTACTGGATATTGACCAAAGTAGAGATTATTTCTAGGGAAGACAAGGAGGTCTTGATTATAGCAGAGAATAATAGTCATACAACAAAGTCAGTGAAAGAAGACTGGTTAATTTTTTCACTAATTCTTTGCCAGAAGAAACTCCCAACTTTTCACTAGACATATGGTCAACTATCTAGCAAAACCATGTTTCCCATCTTCAGTTGCAATGAAATAGAGCCATAAAATAATAGCATTTGAGCAGAAGTGAAAAGTTCCAATTACTGGTCCTGTTCTTAAATGGACACACTATTGTCTGTTTTCTTCCAGTGGGCTGGAATTTGGCCATGGTTGTGGTAAGTCATGGTCACAGGGTAATAGACCAAAGCCGATAAAAGGTACCAAACTCTGGATGATCTCATGTAGCAGTGTCCCCTCAGCTCTTCTGTCTACCCCCTAGACACAATATACCAATCAGATCTTAAAATGAAAAAGAAATAAGCCTCTTCTCTTGGTTAAGTCATTCTTTCTCATTTGTTAAAGCAACTGAGCCATTATTCTGTCTAGTTAGCAATTGCACATTATAATGATTCCCAAGCACTGGCCCCTGGAAGGCAGCTGAACCTTAGGCAAAGCTTGTTGCAAAAGGGAATCCCTGAGCTGAGTTTTGGAGGATTGCTGTGATGGGGAGAAACTCCACCCTGTGCAATTCTGACACTCCCCTTTTAGGACTTTGCACTTTGAGGGTCTTTGGTCTCATGTCTCACATGAGATTTAATTTGTCCTTTGTTAATTACAGAAAATGGTATTCATTATTTAAACAAGTATGTATGGAAAACTTATTGAATACATACAAAAAAGATGTAAATGTCCAGCATAGGTCCACCTTACTGATTTTATTTTACTTTTTTTCTATCAACTGTCATTTCCCTACCTCTCAAAAATAAACTGCCCCAAGATACTGTCAATGTCTGCTTTTTGTTTTATGCTCAATCACTAGTACTCAGTGCAGCTGGACATATAGTATTCAGGATGTTCTTCACTGAAGTAGTAAAATATTATAAAAATAGTAAATAATGCACATAGAAATAACATGCTATACACTTACCATATAACAATTAAAATGGCAGTTTTATATTGAACTCACACTTAAGTGAGCAGATAATTACGCTGTGTAAGAATTGCTATGATGAAATTGAATGAAAACTAAAAGAAGCATCTCTTCAGTAAAATATCTCCATAGTAATCAAATAAATCATTTAAATATCTCTTTCTATGAGTCATTCTTCAGGACCTTCGCGTGTTCATGTAATCCGCCCAATCCTATAAACTGGTACTGTTATATATCTTCACTTGTAGGTAAGGAAACAGCACATAAAGGCTAGGTAGCATGCTGTCAGCCACATTGCTGAAATGGAATTTATAGATTGTATAACTATATGTGCAATATGAATACATAATATATATGCTATATATATATATATATATATATATATATATATATTCTAAGCCATATCCCTCAAACCCATTGCACTACTATCATCATTCCCAACTTAATAAACAGTTATCTTTCCATTAGTATATACCCAAAACTTGCAAGTCATCTTTGATTCTTGTCTCAATCAGAACCCTTTTTCTATTCATGCCATTTCTCATAATCAGAATGATCATACTTCATATGAGTAAAATCGTGCCACTTCCCTACTTCAAATTTCAGTGTGTTCTCTGTGCCCTAAACAAATGTGTAATGGAACTCCACATCCTTATCCGAGCCTATAAACTGTGGTTGAGCTGCCCACTCCCTGCCTCTGTAGCTTCTCACATTACTCTCCATGGAGGCTGTCTCTCTGTCCCTGGCACAATGCCAAGCTCTTTGTCCTTCCTGTTTACTCTGTGCATGGATGAATCCCTTTGTCTTATTTATTTCTGCTTAAGTTTTGTCACCCTCTGGTACAGATTTCTAACTCTTAGAGTCATTTTCTGTCATATCATGCTACTTCTCACTATTAGATACGTGCTTGTTTTGTGTTACCTGTTTTCTCTGGTCTAGAATATGACCTCCTGAGCATGGGGAGAATTGTATCCACATACACTGCTCTGTCCTCACAGTGTAAGAGAACCTGACCCAAAAGCACGTAGCAAACATTTATCTGTTGAATGAAGCAGACTAGATTGGGTAAACAGTTCCAAGAAAAGGAAAAGCTCACAAGTACTTTAAAATGTTTGATATCAAACCACACAAGCATGGCTATAAACAGTAGGTAGGATTGGGGGTCGGTCTAAAATAGCTTTAAGACACAAAGGCCAAGAAGGTAAGCAAGGTGAATCCTATGCCAAAGCATTTAAAAGAAGAGAAAGAAAAAAAAAAAAAACTTAAAATTAGATTAGTCGTGAAAACTGGTAAAAGGAGTGAGACTGTAGAAAAATACATTAAATATCAAGAAAATGTTTCGTCAGCCAGATGAATCAATGAAAAGCCTGAGCTTTTTAGAAATACAGTGCTTTGGTAAACCAACCACCCACGTAATGAAGAAAGAAACCGAAATAGATGAATAACTGTGTGCCATTTAAAAATAGACTTCTCTTGCTCTCTAAAAAACCTGAAAGAACACGTGGAGGAGGTGAGGGGAACAGAAGGAATTTCTAGGAAATAGAAGCCATTAGGTAATATGTTCTTCAGAACCGTCATGTGGAGCTTAAATGGATCCCATGAAGTTTCAGAATTGCCTTTAAAAAACTCATGATCACTTCTTGAAAGCACCTAGCTATATAAAAATAATAACATCTTATTGCTGGAAGAGACTTGCTAGTCTAAATCTTTCTTCCTAAGACACGTTACACCTTTAAAGAGAAAGATGAATTCTTATATAATGAGCATTTTTTAAACGATTATAATATTCAGATGACACACTTTAGTATTTAAAATTTGGCGATGATTTCTAAGCTTTTATTTTTACACTCCTGTGCCCATTCCACAGTGAGCTACTAAATTAATATATTAATTAATTCAGTATAGTGGTAAATAGAAAAAGCAGTCTTCAAAAGCTGAAAAAATAACCTTAGTTATGTGAGCCTTTTGAAACTTAATATATTTGAATCTCTGAATAAGTGCCTGACATTTCATTTTGCAAGAAGTCTAAACAACCACAATAAATTTACAAATGCAGACATGCCACAGTTAAATTTCATTTCACGCTCAGTAAGCAAACACTATCAAACTCTAAACACTGTCCTCCACTGTCTTTTTAACTCAAAATCTTGTCTTCAGTGGAGGGTCGGCCTTGAAATAGTTCACAGATAGAGGAATTTGCTTAGATGATTCCTCATTTTTAGACCAACAAAGTTAATTTGTATATATTGCTGTTTAAGCGGATGACTATGCTTTATATAATAAACAACCGAAATAATTAGTGGGCAGAAACCAAATTGGACAGAACCAAATTAGAAATTCAAATAGAAATTATTCAGGAAAAACTCTTTTTAGTTAATGAGCATTTATTTTCTGTGTTTTGGGATGGATGTTTCAGGGCTGAATGGGAGGTGGGAGAATGCCAAAATTTTGTGAAATAAGAGACAAACACACACTGGAAATTTGTCCTGTACAATTCTTAAATACTCATATGAATAAATATTTTTGGAAGTGAAAGCCTGAGTGTAGAGGTTAAAACTGCTTTATACACATAAGTACTTTTCACAAATTTTAGTATACAACGAACATATGAACTTTTCTTGTGATGTCTACCTGTCTACTTTTTTGTTTTCTGTCTCTTGTAAGGAATATCCTTAGATCATCTCTTAAATTCAAAAATTACCTACTAGTAGTGGCTAAAAAACGGAACTGCATCTTTGATTGTAGTTAAACCCTCAAACATACTTCTTTATATAAATATTACTAAACATATATTTAAATAAATTATTATTAAGATAGTTTGTGATTATGTATGCATGAGTCCCGTGATCTATGGATTTCATTAGCAAAGAGGGGTATTACAAATCATTTGCTACAGTAAAGTGTTGTTGCATCTGGCGGGAATAAGAATAGAATCATTGCCAGAGACCAAAATGCTGCTCTTCACTTCTCATTCTGTCATCCTCAGTGTGTCACTCACAGGTTATAGGAAGGTTCCTTCGGGTTTTGTCATCACCTGAAGACACAGCCATCTCAAAGGTCCAGATTATTTTATGTCTTAAATATTTCTTTGATATATGGTATGTTTCATAGTGCTTCTCAGGAAATAATATAATATTCAATGTAAACATGCACAGCAAGGCCCCGCCTTTAATGATGTAGGAGAGGTTGTGAGTTGAACTTTTCGTCTCAATATTTTTTCCACTCTGTGCCTACAAGAAGATGGAAAATCCAGTTCAGAAGCCATGAAGGCCGTACAAAGGCTGTAGCCTACTTCCCAAATGAAAAAGCTAATGTTGGTTGAAATACATCTTGTTAAATAATTCTACCTCTTATTTTCTCATGTGACTATATTTTTCTAGGAAATTTAATAATATAGTGTAGCAAACATTTAGCTCAAGTAAAGCCAATTTGTTGTAATGGTCAGGTTTCTTTACATGAAAACGTAGGGATATTTTCATTTTCTTTAATTAGTTGTTGGGTACTGGCTTGTCAGGTCAGCACCTCAACCATGGTCCATCAGTATAAATGCCTGCAGGGGCCAAGAGCTAACTGACTGAAAGGACTGGGGTCATGACAAGGGAATGTTGCTAAGTGGAAAGCACATAATAATTTATGGATGGCAGCCACCACTCAGCGGTAATCAATAGTTGCCATATGGACCTGAGTCCAGAGTTGCCAGATCTTTTGTTACTTCAAAACTAAATGTCTGATTTACTTATGAAATCTCCTGATTTTTACATGTTGGCCCAATTTTGAAAAACAGACAAATAACAACAAAACCCCAAACACTTGTATGACCCAAGCAAAACATGTTTATGGAGATACTTGAGCTGTGAATTGCCATTTGCAACCTCTAAACTGCCCATCTGTTTGGAAAGTAGACTGCAGTAATTGGTAAAGAGCACTACTTAGCAGTATTTATGTCATGCAGGGAAGGAGTTTTTCTCTCTCTGGAAAAGTAGTTCACTTTACGGAGCGGACTTGAACTATGTTGTACTAATTTGAAGATTGTTGTGGGGTGTTTATTAGTCAACCATTCCATAACAGCAAATTCTTACAGATTTTATGTTAGTCTTCCATTGCTAAACTTCAAACATTTTGTATAAAACATGGGGAAATTCAGAAGTATCTGCCCAACACAAATGAGAAAAGGATTTTGTTCATGTTTCCCACCCTTGAAACAGAACGCTAAGTGTCTTTTCTGTCTTGTTTGTGCCCATGCTTCCTCTCTCTCACAGCATATCTATTGCTGCATCTCTCATTCTTTGTGATTCAAGTCAATGCCTCTAGTAACAGCTTCCCTGTCTCTATTTTCCAAGCTTGTTTGGTTTTTAAAAGTCTGTCACACTCTCTCCATTCCCCTCTAAGTAGAAAGACAACTTTTAAACTCAGGTTCAGCACCACAACTCCATTTTGTATAAAATTAGATACTGTGGGCTCGGGATTTAGCTCAGTGGCCTAAGCACCTGCCTTGCAAGCAGGTGGTTGTGAGTTCAATCCCCAGTACGGATTAAAAAAAAAAAAAAATTAGATACTGTAATCTCCCAAATAAAATCTTTTACAAATTTCCAAGTAATAGAAATATGCTTAACCACAATCTAATTTCTGCAAACATATAGGTATATGGATAATTTTACTATGCAGTGGTTCTTTTTTAAAAGTGGTTTCATACCACTGTTTGAGAAAATCAATCTTTGTAAATACTAAAATTAAAAATCTATAAGCTCTAGTGGAATGTTTAAATGCTTTATAGGAAGTATCTTCTTTCCGTTTTACCTGTCCTTTCCTCACCCAACTGATATAATGGTACCTCATTTAAAAAAATTAAGATTAAAAGATTATATGTTATTGTTATCATTTATGTAGTGATCTATTCAAAATCTAGATTCCACAACTTCCATTTTCTGTGTCATTATTTTTTATTTGTTTCAGTTAGTTTCAGTTGAAGGAGTCAGAATAATAAAGTGTTTGAAACCTAGACAAGTGATTTCTTTTGTTTAAAAATGTGCGTAAAACATTTTATAGCACCTTATTGTCTGCATCATTAAGTTTGTATTTCTCTTCTCAAACTCTTAACACAGAAAATGGAAACTCTCTAGGAACAGAAGTTCATGGAACAATTGAAAGTAATGTTTCAGATCTAAAATGTTCTTGGCGAGCCGGGTATTTAGCTCAGTCGCATGAGGACCTGCTTGATCCCCGGTATCAGAAATAAAAATAAATAAATAAAATGTTCTTGGCTGGTTAATAAATTTCTCTCTACTTAACCATTAGCATTTATATCAGAAAAGTATAGAAGTCTAAATCTAGAAGGTAAAAAAAAAAAATTGAGAGTCTATAACAGGTGGTGCAAAGTGCAGTTAGTTGCCACTAGGGTGGTACCACAAACTTGTTATTAAATAGGTATTGAAAGACCTTCATACAGTAAGAACCATTTAAAAAATTACATTTCTCAGAACATGATACTGCATGGTATCATTAACTTACTAGGTACTATGGTACATAGTACTATGATACTGTGGTACTAGGTACTATGCTGACATGTTTGATTGATTATATTGTAAACAGAATTTTTCTTTGGTTTTAAAAATTCCAGGGCTGGGGAATTTAGCTCAGTGGCATAGGTACCTGCCTTGCAAGCGCGAGGTCCTGAATTCGATCCCTGATACCCCCCCCCCCAAATTCCAGTATACTTAAAGACTAGAAGAAGAAAGTAACTGTAGAGAAAAAAAGATCATTCATGATCAACACTTACCTGTCTAGCTTTTAGGGTACTTCTGTCATCTAGTCTCAAGTGTTCCTAATTGTTGTACTGAAATATTTTTGAGTTTGTAATTTTTAAAGATAAAAGATAAACAGAATGTGAGTTTACTTTTAAAGTCTTCTCTCATTTACATTTCACCAAGAAAGAGTAAGTTTGATGTACACTTCAGCCTATTTGTTTTTGTATGTATTTTTGAAGTGTTAACATCTCAACTAAGTTCCTATTTGAGTTCATTTGTGAGTTAGATTATTTCTATTTCATTTCCCTGAAACCATGCGGTTTCTTTTATTTGCTGATTGTGGGACGATGTTACTAAGCCTATGAGAAGCTTCTCTGTGAAGTGCATTTTAATATTTAGATCAAACCGCGATTGGAATACATTAATGCCCAGTGGGTAAACGTATCATTTGAAAGCAGCTGCTGAGCCTTCTCCCTGCTGCTCCAATTAACACATGCACCACACTCTAGTCAGCAAGAGGGCTGTGCGTGTGGGTGAAACCACTTTGCTGCTCATTAATATGATATGCAAAAGAGCACGAAGGGTTAATCAGCCTTCCCCTCCCAGAACAATCGCTTTCCTAGAAGTTTCCCAAGCACCAGCTGTGCTTTGCGATTAGCGGTGTCAAGTTTCTGGGGTAGTGTTAGCGGGTTGGATAAACTCGCTTCAGTCTGTAGTTTTGGTTCAGTCCATTGACTAACGTGTTCCCCGCCCCGCTCTTCTGCTGCGCCCCGCCCCTGGCTATGGAGACTTCGGATAGTGACATTCTAGCGCTGGGGCTCATCTGGAGTCCGCTGAATCTCTTGAACTTTTGCTTTATTTTGAAACAAATTGAAGTCCCAAACTCTAGTCCTTCGTTGATTTTTTTCTTTTAGCCTTTCATTATCATTTCACTTAGTCTTTCCTCCTTCCTTTTTATTTTAAATTGCAGATTTCACAATTTATTGAGCTGAGTGAGAAATCTTATCAATGTAAAGCCACTTCACTCTGGTTTTTCCCCTCCCATGGGTAAAATCCCGGCGTAAATGGTAGCACAGCGGCAGGCAGGAGAGTAGCGTGCCCTGGTCCCCAGGCCGTCGGTCATTCATGCTCCGCTGGCTTCCCAAGCAGCCAGGCTGTTGCTGTGCTCTGCTGCTGGCTGAGCCAGGCTGCGCGGTGGAGAAGAGATGGACCGCTTCTTGGGTTTTGTCAAGCAGATACGAAGATCTAGGAGAAGAAAGGGAAAAAAGTACCGACCAGAAGAGGATTACCACGAGGGCTATGAGGATGTCTATTATTACGCTTCAGAGCATTTTCGAAGTAAGCGCTCCTCTCCATCCTCCTCTCCTGTTCCTTCTGACAGGCTGGGGCAAACAATAAACCTTGTGTGCAGCTTTAATCTTAAATGCAAAGGTTTTCCAGATGGTGTTCCCTGTGAGCAATCTGTAAGTACTGAAGTGCTTCATTTTGCTTGATGTTTTGCAATAATAGCCATCATATAGATTCTAGAGTGTAACTTCCCAACATCTGTACACACGGATAATATTGTGGATGTAATTCAGTGATTTTGTTGTTTTAACGAGATATGCAAAAAAGTATCTTGCAAATCTAATGATAGGTGGTTAGTTATAGTTGTTGTTTTTCAACAATTTTGTGTGTGTTCTGTACTCTTCCTCTTTCAAAATGGGATGGCTGGCTCATTTGGAAGAAATAATTGACTATGTTAAAGATGATGCTGATAAAGCTACAAACTTCAATGCAGTTAGCTGTGATTAATCTGAGGTGTTGTTTGTACAGGAAGTTCAAATGCTTTTATCCAACGCATTTTTAAAATTTGGTTATTAAATTAAGGGAGTTCTTTTACTCGTCAGCTGTAAGCGTGATACCTGTAGAATAAAATACCATATTGAGACATTTGTAAATTTGCTTATCCAGAGCAAAGAACTAGAATTTTTCTTGCACCTGTCATTGCTTTAAATTTCTAGTGAGATTTAGACAGGTCCCAGTAGATTTGAAATGCCCAGAAATGCCTCAGGGTGCAGAGGGAAATCAGCTACATGCTGAAATTACTGAGTTTATGTTCCCCAAATAGGAGTAAGGAGAAGATGGTTATTTATGACACACATTATAAAAATTATTTTTTATCTTTTCAAATAAGCATCTTTGTAAACCTGTGCTTCAACTCCAATTTTCTTGATCTTTTGATGTCCAATCACAAATATATCCCATTTACGACTTCTGAGTATTATATAATAAATAATTTAGACATTGAAAGACATGAGAATTAGTTCAAAAAGTCAGAAATTCTGCTGTGATTGATGAAGGCTGAAGGTTGAAAGTTTATATGGTGGCAATAACACAGTAATGCAAAACTGTAAGACTTCGATATTTACTGTGCTACTCTTACAGGGTAGTCTCCAAGCTTCAGGGATATTTCTCTTTATAATGCTTCAACATGAATAATCTGTTCTAATGTAGTGAGTCTTTGTCTCCTAGATTTAGTTTCCATAATATATTCTACAATTTAACTAAGATTTGTGTCACATCAAAAATACTGTCAGCTTGCATGAGTAATTCTGAATACTTAGTGAATAAAAGAAGATTATAAACTTTTAATTGGATAGTTGTTTATATTATATAAATCTCTTGCAGTCAAGTTCACACCCTCCCAGATGTGTATCCTGATGTGTTTTTGTACAAGTAAAATCAAAGAAAAAATCTCTCAAAAGCCTGCATTCTACTAGTTTTAGTGAGAATTTTAAGAATTACAGAAAGTTTAAGTTTACGAAAAAAAGAATGTTATGAAGATAACCAAGAAGTATCCCCCAAATAGAGTTTAAAAAGTCATATAATGAGGTATACATCAAATACAATAACTCAAAAAGAAATGTGTCCTATCTGACTTGTCAAGGTCATAATAAGGATAAAATATTAAGCATCAAAAGTCATTTTAATTGGATCTGAGTTGGTATCTTCTGTCGCTCTGAAATATAGGAAGCACTCATTATGCAATATGGTCCATAACTTTGTGGAGTTAGATGCAGACTGAATCCTCGATTTCAGACTGCTATGTGACAAACAGAATGTGTCACAATGGACTCAGGCAGTTGAGATTTGGCATTTCATCAAATGTCACATAGCCAGTCTTTTCTGAAAGACATGTCATATAATAACCTCCAGTGCATGTTTTAGTTTAAGAACCTGTCTGAATTGAGTAGGGAGGGGATCCACCTATATTTTACAGCTGTATTAAAGTAATTAAGAGCACGACTGATCTTTCATGCCAGCCCTCTCAAATGGGTAATATGGTAGGATTCAGTTGAATCAATAATGTGTCATAAACTGAAAGTTTGTGCCTTATGTATTCCCTTACGTGATTTAGAAATTTTACTTACACAAAGGCTCAAAAGTTGGTGGAATTTACAGATGATATTAACCTCTTTTTAAAAATTTCTTGTACTACTTTTAATTTTTATTTCTTATTACTACTTGTTTGCAGTACATAATGATTCTATTCCTTATGGGGACTTAGTTTGTGTATATAATGATGCCATTGATATGCCGGAAGTATCATTATTATTTTTCTTTTATAGTGTTTGTTTGTTGAAACTTAACTGTCTTGTCACTGTTTCTGTTGTTCCATATTACTACAAGAATTTCACACTATCATAATGAAAGACTGTGCTCCTAAGAATTCCCCAGAGAATTCCCTTGCAAGTCTTATCTTTCCTACATCTTCAAGTGCCTACTGATGTTTCAATAATCCTAAGTAATGCCTTTTCTGTGGTGGGCTCTGATAAAAGACTTCACAATTGTTCTCTTCATTTGAAATACTACATCATTTATCTTAAACACAAAGCCTGAATTAAAATGTCAATATGGTCAGATGTTGTACACAGAGAAGTTATTCTAAAAATAGATGATTTTGCAGCAACTCTGTCAAAACTGGGTTTTAGTCATGATAGTGATGACAAATTGTTGTTAAAAAGGTCCTCCTTGACTTTATGTTGAATTGATATATGTAAATGTACAAAAGATACCTACATATGATTTTTTTTTTAAAACTGCTTTTGTTATATATCTCTTTTTATAATTCTAGAGTTGAAGATTAAGTAAACTAGACAGGTGCCTTGGGCAAATAACCAGGCATTTCTGTTCTTCAGTTTCCTGAAATGTGAAGTAAGATAATATCTTTATTTCTAAAGATTTCTCTAATTAAAAAACTGTAATATTTTAAATTTTACTTGATTCCTAAAACTATCCAGTTAAATGTATTTGTACATGTTTGGGTTCCTTGCTGTTGAGAGAAGACCTCATTTTGTTGCCCAGGCTGGGCTCCAACTCCTGGACACATGCTGTCCCCCAACTCTGTGTCCTAAGTGGCTGGGACTCCACACTGGCTCAGCTGCCATGACCAGCTACCACAAAGATGTTGTCTAAAGGATGTTACCTGGGATTTAAGCCAGAAATTTCACCTGATATTTTAAGGAAACTGGTTTTCTGACAGCAGTTTTTAGTAGATGGATTCCTATTACTTTAAGGTTATAACCTAACATGGAGTAGTAAAAAATTTGGGGAATATGTTGCTAGATCATAGATCAAGTTTTTAATTTAACTGTACCTACCAAGAAAGACCATTTATTCCTTGAGAGTCTCACAAAAGTGGTTCATTTGTTATTTTTTCTCAAGAAAAACTTGAACTGATTACAAAACTCCTTAAATCTAAAAAAAAAAAAAAAAAAAAAAAAAAAAAAAAAAAAGCTAGAAAAGGCTCCTAAAATGAAATATTATGTTTACTATTTTCTTGGTTCTTTTTAAGACCAAATTGTGTTATAGCATTTTTTAAAGACTCTGATAGGTCATATTATTTTTAATTTTTCATACACAAAAAATAAAGTGCCTTTCCATATTGTTATATATAATTTTATTTAACCAAATTGAATAATATTCAAATTACAGAACAGATGAAGTATATCTCACAAACATTCCCCTGGTTCTTAACTGTGGTAAAAAATAAACAAACAAACAAAAGAAGCCCCTGACTGCCACTGCCTGTGCAGTTGAATTATTGGAAATGGAGGATTTATTTCTCTTTCCTGGGGCCCTGGCACCTTTTTCACAGGCATAACAGCACTGAATTAGGCATAGGTCTCTCCTCTGAGACGCTCTGCTTAGCTTTCATTCTGACTCATCTCTGCAGGAGGAAAGCTGTGTGGGGAAGCTGCTCAGAGAAGCCATTAAAGAACTTCTTAACTTTCCCTTCTGAGGTCTTCGGGAAACTAGAGAAAGGGAGAGACCATAACCGGTTCAGACCTTTAAACGAGTGGTCAATTGAATTTATAACTTATTTTTTTTTCATTATTATTGTTTTCCTGTTCCAATACATATTGAGCAGCAGTGGAACATGAGTGTGTATCTGTTCACAGAAACATTGTTACTGTAAGTTAAGCAATATATGCTTTTTAAATTCCAGCCAGGCATTTCAAGTTATATGGTGCCTTAGATGTGCAAACTACATGGTAAAGGAATTCTCACTTTCTTTATCTCATTGAAAAATACTAGTGTATGTTGTGTTTCTTACAAAAAAAATCAGTGGACGTTTGTAGTGCAGGAATATTTAGGCACTGATGTGGACAACTGGAATAATTTCTTATTAGTTTTTTAAACTAGATTTTTAAAAACTCACATAATTATACCCTTTCTGCATCAGGGGACTGACATCTAGTTAGGGTTTTCTCTCTTGGTAAGTGTGCCAGAAGGGCAGAGTGAGATCTTTAATATGTATTTTTGGGACGATGGCTGATGCTCACTGTAATATGTGTAAGAACCAGAAGCATGTATAAGTAGGCTCTTGCCTCTGTCAGCTTTTGGTGGTAAGTAGAGGGAGAAGTGGAGGAGGGGAAGCAGAAGGAGAAGAAAAAAGCACATTTCATAGGCTGTCCTTACTTCTCTAATACTCAGATGCATAAAAGCCATGCATTTCTGTGTAACATGGTCACTAAACTGACAGGTCTTAGGTCTGAGATCCTAGGTGGTTCAAGCCTTAGCTGTGCTTAACTTGATCTAAGGAATCCCAAAAGAATTAGAAGAAATATGATAAATGGACAAATTTGCTTGTTTTTCAGATAATCCTGATTATTTTTCTTTTCTAAGAATTGTTTTTCATCTATAGTATATTTGTTTGTTAAAAATTAATGAGCATTTTCTCTTTGGGGAATTTTATATCATCATCTTTATTATACAGATTTTAATAACTTTTTCTACATGGAATAATTTAAAGTAATAGTAAAATAGAAAGGGACCTTAGAATCTACTTTGTC